AAACAGAAGCTGCAGGAGAAGCAAAAGACAAATTTAGTGGTTTTCGCCAAAGTCCTTTGTGGACACATTGATTTCCAGGAAAATAAATTCCAGCCCTTTGACACTGATCTCAAAATTCAACTGCCAAGTTAAGACACTGGTGATTTTAAGATTATTAAACGAGAGCAAAGGACACAGAGTGAAAGTCTAAAATCAGCTTTATACTCTAGCCAAACCAACTCTTTGTTGATTAGGCTTATTAAGAATTATTTGTGATACAAAAGACAGAGATACAAAGAAGAAATAACATTCATGTATCAAATACAACATACAATACAATGCGACATTCACATTACAGTGAAAATAGAGGTCCAAAAATTTAACAATACATAGTTTTATATCAATGTTAAGTTAAAAGCAATTATAGCAGCTCTGTAGCTGCTCTCAGCCTCAGTCATCTGTGGTTTCTTTTAATTAACTACACCACCTCTTGTACAGTAGAAAGAGATTTTAACACAGGTGTGTACTGTATCACTGTATGAGATGGAAGCTAAAGCTCTGCTGACAGTAGTAATCTCCTTCATTTACTGTCTACAGTATGTAATTTGTGTCTATTTGTGCTCCACAATGAGCTGCCGTCCTGTCCAATCTGTATCCTGCCATGCACCTGTTGCTTGCTGAGATAGGCTCTGGCTCCCTGAGACACTGAATTGGATGAAATAGTTAGAAAATGGATGGAATTATAGCAGTTATGGAGTGCAATGTTGAGATGAGCACTTCTGTTGTGTCTTGGAACTAAGCAGCAACACTGTAGGTTCTGTGTTTCTCAAAAGGTTGGGTTTGTTTGAATCTCTTTATTATTAAGAGAACCACAATGTCACCTGTCAATCACCCAAAGATGACCAGTAAATGAGGAACTTGTGGGGTGAGGAAGACCACAATACCTTATGACATCATAACCAATCACAACCATGATTGCTGGCTGTAAAAGGTGTCATGCAGGTGTCATCTTTTCTCACTTTCTAAATTCACTGTGCTTTTTCATTCAAAACTTGGCAACCTGACATTATATTTTCCCACCTGACAGCAACCATTGTTGTCCCAGTTTCAGCAAATTGAACTTATAGCATAGTCCATATGAAATGGAATTCTGAACAAGACTTTCTCAACACAAGAGAAATCTTGTAACTAGCTTGTCACCTGCAACATCACCTGATCAATAAAATAAATAGTTTTGTGCAGTATTTTGTTGAAAACCCTAACTATCAATGTAAATTCATCAGCAGTTACACCAAAAATGTCTTCCCCTTTTGACTTACTTACAGTCTGAACCCGGGTCAGACCATGTGCAGAAAATGGTAGAAAGTACCCCAAAACATGATGACTGGAATCCTTTGCTCATTTTTTTTATTGAAGCCAAAAGTACAGCTTTACAATCATGCCAGTGGAAGAAGACTACACAAGGCTGTGACAGCTCACTCTCTGGAGGACTATTTAGACTCCCCACTGAATGGCCTGGCCACCATGTTGTGTTGAATGAGAAAAGGTTTAAGTTAATTTTAAGTGTTTACTGTCATGTCTGTCCCAGCTCCAGTGCTGTGGGGCCAGCTGACATTACCTTGGTAACTGGCCACTATCCACTATCCTGTCTACACCAGTTACCATGGACAAATGACTAGACAAGAAGCCTGATCACCCGTGGTCTATTTTCAGCACTTTAGTCTTAGGTGGCGCAGGCTACTTAAGATCAGGTTATAATTGTAGTAAAAGACAAATAAGTTCTGGAACCCAAGATGACATTTAAGTAACTGAGTTTATTGCATGCAGGGAACAATAAGACCAAAGTATTGTTCGAAATATAGGTACAAAACTTCCAGTTTATATAGAACACTTCAGCCGCTTCTGATGCAAATTGTTACCATGGTAATGGGGGGGGCACCTGTGTTTGGACATTCCCAAGACCTTGAAAACTTTTAATGGTTGGTTTTATCTTTCCTTAGTTAGGGGGTCTTTATCTTGCACTTGGAATTTCATATCAATTAACTCCCTTCCCTGCCATAATTCAAAGGTGCCTAAGCATGGAATGTCTTGTGTTACAAGAAGTCTTTGTGCAGAAAGAAATCAGTTAACCCTTTTTTCACATCTTATATCTTTCTTCATACTGCACTCAGCACTCTGGCAAAAAGTCATTTCAAGAGTCTGTTTCTGAGCTTTGTTCTCCAAGTTCCTGTGTTCCTCAGCTTATTGCTCTTGTTCATGTGTCCCTGTGTTGCTGTCTTCTGTTCCTGTGTTTCCTGAGCTATGTCTTGTTTGGATTAACTATCTGACCTGTCTTGACCTGCTCCCAGGTTTCCCATGTCTATGGTTTTTCTCAATGTCTTCATGGTTCGAACCCAGCTTGTTCCCATAACTACTCTTTGCACATTTTCCCATGTGTCCACAGGATCAATGTCTAGGAGCTGGTGTCCTTCCCAGTTCACCCGTGCCTGCAGTGCTTGGGTGTCTGAATGACCAGTGGATTTTGATAACAAGGCCTCACAGACTGCTGTCTGTCACTCAATGAGGACACTGTGGAGAAAAGGGCTTTTAGTGTTTTCTGTTTTCTAGTTCAAAAAATGGTAAGGTTGCCCCATGTTAATCTTTGACCATAATTACTGTCCTTTGATTTGAACCCAAATTAAAAGTCCGCAGCCTTGTACCTGAGCAGCCCAGTGTCTGACTACTGCACCAGCCCATTGCCTCTACCTGACGCACAGGGTTAATCTAAACAAAGAGAGAAATGGAGAGGAGCCTGGTTTTGCAAGAAGGTGTCATTTTGATGACTTCATTTATCAGTGTCACTTCAAACGTTCATACCTTTCACAGGAAATTATTCTTTCAAAATCAATTTCTCATTGATTACAGTATGAGTATTAAATTGAAACTTTTAAAGTGAAACAGTTGAATAAAGCAATTTTAGGAAGATGATGAAAACACCTTATCCAAACCAGGTCAACTTGGTAAAGTACAGCACCTGCTGTAGATGCCCTAAAGGATCTGTTAGCTTTTGCCTGGTTACTGTAGTGAAAGCTGAGATGAGGGACCTGGCGTAGATACAGTACAGTACTGTATGTAGGCCTTTGCATTAAATTGAAATACTACAGCAGACCACTGGATATTTCTCAGTGAGATACTCCAGGGTTTGAGCGACTGACCTGGTGTAAGTATCTGGGTTTGTGTAGTAAGACTAATGCACTGTAGTAGTAGTGTTCACTGTTTACCAGGAAGAATTTGTCAGAGAGTCACGCTGGGGCAGAGTTACTGACACTAGGCCTGGATATTGCTGTTCTTTCCAGAGAGATGAGTAGAACCAGAGGAGGAATTGAATGCCTCTTTGGGATTAATGAGAAGATTAGAGTTATCATGAGCAACCGTTAAGGATATGGAATAGCTCAGATATGATACTAAGCCTTCCTGTAAATTGTAGGCATTGAAGTTCTGTTCTCTGCACAACTGTGTGTTGGGATCTATAAGGAGCCTAAAACTACAATATGAAGGAATTTAGATTATTGCAGATAATAAAACAACAGACCAAACACCATATTCATAATGTTCTTATTCATTTAGTGTGGACAGTTGTTTAGGACATGTGAAATGAACCAAGATTTCTTCGTTCTGTCACAGAGTATAGATAGGTCTGAAATATGTATCATCTATCCATCCATTTCTTATCTGTTTCTTCCAATTCAAGGTTGCAGGGGAGCCAGAACTCTCAGCAACCAATGGGCACAAGGCAGGGTACATCCTGGGTGGGACACCAGTTCATCATAAGGCACACTTTATACTGACAAAGGAGATGGCTTTTGTTTTGTACACAGCGTTTAAATGCTTAAAATATCATGATGTTTCAGGTATGTTTATAAAATCCTTCAGGTATTTAGAAAGAAAACTAAGAAATGTGCAGTTTTTAACTGAAGACAAATGCCAACAATAGAAGAACACAGCTGAGTTTTAGTAAGCTATGTTTTAGTGAGAAATTATGGTTGTATCACTGGCTTAATCAAAGTACTGCTACAGTGGAAATAGCTACGACCTGTTTGGTCTACTTCTGGTCTGTTTAAATAACTGCAAGGTTGTTGTGGTTCTATTTATTTTTAAAACATCTACAGGAAAAGCACCCAGTGTCAGTGTCTCCAGACCCAGTCTCTAGTCCCACATGTCATTTAGATATTTATCCTATTGCATTATTACTTGTGTTTGTGTTCCTTCTTTGGAAATGTGATTGGCAACCAGAAGGGACCAGTGGAGCCCATTGCTAACAGACTGACTGGCTGTACAGCTGAACAAGACTGGAAGAGCTGACTGAGCTGGAGTCTGAGTCAGAACAATCTGTCCACTGGACCCTGGAGGTGAAAGGATGACAAATAACAAATTATGAATAATTACAGGTACTTGAGATAAACATTTGTTTTTGTATTTATGGGCCTACATTTCCATTGGCTTTCCTTAAATTTACCATTTGTAATTAATTAGTCTAATATTGCATGAATACAGTAAAACTAATGTTAACCTTGTCAAAGTCCATTTGAGAAATAATTTCTTTAATCCTCACCTTGAGCGAAGAACCCCAGTGTCCCCAGCAGTAGAATCAATGCCATCATTGTCCTGTGTGTGTCTGTAACTCTGAAAGGGCTGAACAGTGGCTGATCCACACTGTGTGTCTGAAGAAAACATAATGTAAAACTGGGCACAAGGTTTGTTACTGATAGGGACTACTGGAATATTCCTGTGATAAAGATGTTGTATTTATCATTCAGAATGATGCAGGACAAGATTCCAGTAGACATGTCTTCACAGATCTCAGTAAACAAACAGCTCTTCTTGGCTAAAAGTCCTGCTCAATCAAGAAAGAAAATTTGCATTGAAGAGACACCTTGCATTGGCAGCACATGCTTCAGTGCTCTGGGAGTGTTTATAGCCCTGTGAGTTTAACACCTCATGACTGAGAGCTGCCCTTCATGGCAACAGAACCCACAACAACAATGACTTTCATCACCATCTTCATCTGGACACTTGTCTACTTTCATGGTGAGTAGAAATTTAATTATTGCAATATATCATAACACAGGGAGATTTGCAATGTAAAGATACTTTATATTAGGTTTTCCGTTCTGAAACTGTTTGCAAAGAGATTAAACAAATCTATTTTAGGCATTTTAACTTTAAAAATTTATATTCCTAATATTACATTATTTTATTTCAGGTTCAAGTGGACAGGTTACTGTGACTCAGACTCCATCAGTGACATCTGTTCTCCCAGCACAGACAGTCACTGTGAGCTGTAAGACCAGCAGTTTTGTTGGTACCTGTTTTTATAGTAGTTTTCAAAGTGGCATCTGTCTTGCTTGGTACCAACAGAAAGCTGGAGAAGCTCCCAAACTCCTGATCTATGCAGCAACAATCCATGAGTCTGGGATTCCAGAGCATTTTAGTGGCAGTGAATCTGGGACATCTGGGACTGACTTCACAATGACCATCACAGGAGTCCAGGCTGAAGATGAAGGAGATTATTACTGTCAGCAGTATGGCAGCACTCCTTTCACACAGTAATACAGGTACGTACAAAAACCTCCCTCAGCTCTACAGGAGCTGCTCTGGCTCATCAACGGGAACCACAGAGGACTGAGACTGAGAACAGCTGCAGAGCTGCAACAACACTGAACAGAGCTGGGTTTGTACATCTTTTGTAAATATTGTCTACTAAGCTTACAAAAATAATTTGCAGATAAATTTAAGTTGTTAAATTTAAAAGGTAATGAAATTGATAATAACAAAAAGAAATAACGCTTATTAACATTTTAGCTAATAAATGCCACCAGAGGAAATATTTTAATGCATTCAATACTTAGTATTTCCATTATGTTCTATTTTTCATCCTGTGATATTTTTTGGCAAGTTGCAATCTAATTAACTCAATTTATAAAGGGAGAACTGAAAAGCTACTGTTCAAACTGAAGGATTAGTTTCTACTTGACATGTGAGACTGGACTGGATCTACTAGACTGACAACAAATCGATGAAGTACAGTAGCAGCTTGGAGACTTTGAAACTGTTTTTACTTCAGTTATCAATGCTAACCAGGAGTGGGAGACAGAACCTGTCAGTGCTCTCTCCACTGTAACAGCACATGAATGTCAGTGGATCAACCTTCATTGCTCCCAAAGGTCATGACCACAGTGGGCATGACAGTTGGGAGAAATGACAGCTGTTCAAACCAATTTTTATCTTTTTAATTCCTGTAAAGTTTCAGAAGTGTGTATGCAAGACAGTGCCATATATCTGAAAACAATCTCTCTGACTGAATGAAAAATCAAGAGCTGGTTGACAGTTTTGAACATCAGTCCACATTTAATAAGTAAAAAATGTATACATGTGGTATACTACATATGTACTTGTAGCCTGGTCTCATCAGATCTCAGACGCTAAGCACAGTTGTGTCAGATTGCAACCATAGAGGGAGACCTCAAAGGAAAACAAGGTTTCTGCTGTCAGTAGAGCTGACCTTGAACCCGGATTACGGTCGGCACCGCCCCCTCTTCGTCATCCCCTTCCATTCCTCACTGTGTTTTCCCTGTAGCCCTTCTCAAGTCTCTTCTGGATTATACCGTCTGCATAGGGCCCTAAACTACGCACTACATGGGAGTCAGGACCGGCTCCCGTTACAACTATGTGTTGTATCTTAGTCTGCAGAACATTTGGTGATGAGGATGACTGTTTTGGGATTCAAAGAGTCACAGCACAGTTCAGTGAAGGTTTGAAATGAATTTAACTGGTGAGGAAAACAGACATTTCCCCCACAGTGTCCTGAACTACAGCAGTGTTATAGAGGATTTTATAGTCTTTGTGCAGTCATTGTCACCCTTTGTTATTACCATGAATGGGCGTGTATGACTATTACTAATCAAATTGGGAACATAGAAAACATTTCCACTAATTGCCCAGTAGCAATTCTTGATAACATTATCCCTGCTTTTCCGTTACTCCTAAGGGAATCATGTACAACATTAATTTCTGACAGGTCTTGTATAGAAGGTATGTGTTTAAATGCACTCCAGCCAGGTCAGGAGTACTTGACCCCAGGCCAGAGTCAGATCTCTACAACCTGTTACAGTGTAGGCAGCAGACTTCCCCTCTGTGTGCTGGTCTCAGTTTGGAGAACATTTAGCAAAATATAACACTTGGGTCACCTTAGGGCTAAAACAATAGATTGATGTGTGTACGGGGGGGTCCCTCCTTAACGTTTATCAGCATTTACAACACTGACAAAACAGAGCATAAAAAAATCTAGCAAAATTATTGGAAAATAGCTTTGTCATATATAACAATCATTATAGATATATAATTACTATATTGTTTCAAAATTGTATGTTTGCCATTGTAGGGGTTTTGTTCATTTACTGGCACAATTATTAATTTTAGCAGTAAGTTACAAAATGAGTCTTTGATGGCTATTAGAAAACCGACCTTGTGGAATAACTCAGCAACGCACACACATGGGTACTAATACACGAGAATACATTTATTAATACATAAAATGTTCATATAACCATAACAGATCTTATAGTGATGGTTAGCAGAATACAAAAGGTATATATTCAATCACAAAGAGTTACAATACCAAGAGAGACATACATTCAGTATACCATTCATTTATACCGTTTCGTTAAGGAGCTCTGATGACAATGTCTACACTAGATACTCAAAAATAAGTACGTCACTCATAGGAATTAAATTGATATCAACTGGGGTTGAGGTAACAATTGAGTTCTCGAGCTGTAATGCAGAATGTTGAATACTCATCCAATTAATGTGGATTCAGATATCCTGTGGAAACAAAAGAACAGAAACAGGCTGTTGCTGCTTCCAATCGGCATCCTCTGGCCCGGTGCCAGACAGTCCTGGTGTGGCTGGAGGTGTGGGAGAAGGAGGGAGAGATTCCTGCTCTGGTTTGCTGGCAGTGGGCTCTCTGAAGACCGGCTAGTTAGTCCTGGCTGAACTAGCAGAGTTTGAGCACATGAAAAGTGACTGCGGGTCCAAGCAAGTCCCACTCTTTAAACGTGAAGAAGACCGGTTCGTTCCTGATGTACTGCTAGTCCTGAATACTGAGATTCAGCTGTCGACGATTCTGAGCTTGCTTCACTCGTTGATCAGGCAAGCGTTCATGGTGGGGTACCAGCGATTCATGAGGCGTGCTGCTGGGCTAACCTTTGGGTATCCTTTGGTTATGTGCAAGCAACCTCCAGTCTTGACTCTTAGAACAAGGTAAAGTCCTGGCACTCGGACACACTATGCCCTGTGCTGCCTCTTTTATCTGGAGGAACTATGGTCGTTGACTGTTTGAAAGTTTCACGGGCATTCGAGACCCACGTGGGGTTATGCCTCTCTACCAGTACCTGATTGACTAATCAAAGTGGAAGATGAGTAACAATACTCTCTGACCTTAGGGTTGTAAACACTTTGGAATGAGACTCTCCCTTGGAATCTCCCAGACAGAAAGGTGCCAGAGATAACCATTCATTAGGGTGGCTGGAGAATCTCAGCCCTGTGAGTTGTTCCTTATCAGAAAACTCTATCAGAAAAACACCTTAAATCTGAACCACATGGAATGGCCTCTCTGTGTGCAGCACCACAGAGATAAAGGAGAGAGACTGGCAGGGGGACAGCAAACTTAATTCCTGTATTATTAATAAGCATTGCCGCTACAATCATTTCCTTTATTTAACAGGGCAATACACAAATTCAAATCTTACAGTTTCCTGATGAATAAAAATGAAAAACTAAGGTGTAACTCAAGATGCACTGCATAAACATGTTTATTGTTTTGTTAACCAAGTTGTGCCTTTACAACAGAGATCAATGCAGGTACTTACACATTTACTCTCGTACTGAGCAGTTTCTGAATGAAGTGACTTTGATCCAAGATAGATAATTTCACACAAATGAGCAAAATGGTAAAACAAACAATTCAGAATGATAATCAATCAGCTGAGCACATGGATGAGGATGTGGTGTGCAGATGAAGCCACTGCTTTTCTGATCCAACTAAATAAGATGCAGTGATGCAGTGAGCGATCACTTTGTGAGAAGACTACCACGCTGGCTTAAAATTCAGGCACAGTGGTGTGGCTCTGAAATCTAGAAACAAGAATGGGAAGGAGAGAAATTAAGATGATCAAAAAAGAAGTCGTTTTTATGGAAGACTCCAACTTTCCTAATATAGACTGGGAAAGACTGATAGAATTATCTGCAGCAGAAACTGAAATGTAGACATGACTAATGACCACTTCCTTTCCCAGATTCTCATAGTACCTACAATTGGAAATAATCACGTGGAACTTCTCCAGGAAAATGATTGTAATGGCAGGTAAAAGTTTCAAAATAAAAAAAAAAATAGTACAGTAGATATAAAAAAGTATTCCAACTTATTTTACACATACAAGTCTCTAATTCTATAAGCTTTGAGGGGCATTAATGTACATATATTTTCTGTACTTCAGAAAAAGCTATAATGTTTTATCCTTTTCCAAAATACGGAATAAAAAGACTGTACTTGTAATTGTTTAATACCACTTGATAGAAAATATTAATATTTGATCATGTAACTAAAGACATTTTGGCAGATAAAAAGAGAAAAAGACTAGTGGATATTGTGGAAACATTTTGACGTTGATTTAAAAAAAAAACTTTTGTCCTTATAGTGTTAATGGACAGTGAAAAGGTCAATAAATAGTAATGTAGCAAACTGCACCTAAGCTGCAGTTTAGCATGATGGTTTAGATAAGTGCTTGCTACACATTTCAAATTCAGAACAGTGTTCTGAAAAAGTTGATTATTATAGCTTGTTGTAAATTCGATGTGTCTTAATGCAAATTTCAGCACCAAGTAATCCAGAAACAGTCGAACACTTCATCTCTGCTGAGGGTAGGAATGGGTTTGAAACAGTATATAAGCTTTATATTTAAAATGAAAATAATTTATTTTTTGTAAAAGAAGGAAACATTAGAAGCAGAAATAATACTTTAGGAGGTGATTAATATTTTCCCACCTAATACTTTATTTGATCTTTAATTTTCAGAATTCAGTGGACAAGTTACTGAAACTCAGACTCCAGCAGTGAAATCTGTTCTCCCAGGACAGTCACCATGAGCTGTAAGAACAGTCCTACAGTGTATGTTCATGAATCTAAGCACAGACTAGCCTGGTACCAACAGAAAGCTGGAGAATCTGCTAAACTCCTGATGGAGCAATTACCCATCAGCCTGGGATCACAGAGCATTTCAGTGGTAGTGGATCTGGGACTGACTTCACTCTGACCATCACAGGAGTCCAGGCTGAAGATGCAGCAGATTATTACTGTCAGAGTCAACACTACCTCAACAGTAATTGGCTGTTCACACAGGGCTACACACCCATACAAAAACCTCCCTCAGCAGGACTGCACAGCGACTGCACTGCTGCAGCTGGGATCTACTGTAGGTGCTAAGGGGGAAGGCAGAGACACAGGACACAGCCTGTGAAGGAGCTCAACTGCTCACAAAGACAAAGACAAAGCAACGAGGTCATTCAAAACACTAAGGTCTTCCATAAGAAGATTATAAAATTGAATATCATATAATTAAAATCTCCATGACTTCCACTTGTTGTGCCAAATAAAGGGCATCAGCCGGAATTTGTGTGTTGAAAGTCGTCTTTCTTTTATATGCATATGGGAGTCTTGCTTTTGGACACAAGACTCAAAAGACAACAGTTACAGTGCTTTTTTATATAGTGAAACAAACAATACAAGATACACTCCCACATGACTCTCTGCTTGCATTGCGGCTATATATGGTCATTCTAAAAAGCTGACAAGTACATACAGTATATTTTCTTTACTGCTGGCTTGCCTGACAAGCAGCCTTTTCTGCTGAATAGACCATTTGTTCCAGGAGAGGTCACTCGGTCATTTACCTAAGAACTATGCCAGCTATGCGTAAAGACACTATGTGGCTATGTTATTTTTTGAGACCAGACATCCTGAGAAGGATTTAGTAAAATATAAGTAAAAAGATACATAGTCAACAAGATATAATACAACCTTTTAGTAAAAACTTTTAGTTAATTCCCTCACACTACATTAGCAAAGATAAAAGGATACTATTCATGCTGATATGAATAATATATTTTAGAGGACAGGCTCAGTAATCACAGCTTAGACACTAAAAACAGAGAGATCTGGCTGTCTAGAGAGGACAGACCCCCTGAGCACAGCCTGGAAAAAAAAAACCTCAAACAGAAACATTCTGTGTTGTTTAGGTGTGTGATTATTAATGAATATTTGTTTATCCTAGTTTGCCTTTGATTTATTATTTTTCCCCAGAGCTGTGTCAGAGAATAAAATGGGATCTACTGCTCTGGGTTGTTTATTGAATTACTTCCCAATCTCCATTTTTCTAACACCCCCTAGTTTGTAACAATATTGTTAAAAGATATTGGGACCTCTATCATTAGCACTCATGGACACTGTGAGCTGTCAAGTTCTGACACTGAAATACAAACTGCTAATAAAGGAGGGTCAGTCACTACAAAGCCTGTTGAGGATCCCACTGAAGGTGATGGGGCTTCAGAAGCTTGAAGAACAAGTTTAGAGGAACAGAACAAAATACAAAACAGAAGCCAAGTTCACTCTGAGCTGTTTCAGTTCCCTCAATATCCCTACTTTGAAGCTTAGTTCAAGTACCTTTATTGCCATTTGCACGAACAGTGCATTGGAAATCTTACATGGCTTCTCTCAGTCAGAAAACATAAAAACAAAAGGGTAAACACACAGACTTTGTGCAGCACACAATATACACAATCTGTACACACTGTGACACAAAAAGATTCACATAAAAATAATGGCTCCTAAGTTACACATGATAAAAGACATTGTGCCTACGGAGCTGGGGTAGATATGGACCTCCTATATGACATGCTGGTCTACATGTATTTGGAAATCAGGCATACTGTACTCAGGAAAAAATTGTTCATAAACCTGTTCCTTCGGGTCTTAATGCTCTCTGGCCTATGACACTGAAGGTTATATTTAGTGTCTCGCCAGGTAAACAGACTATGGCTAAGGTGGAGTGGGTCTCTGATGATAGCATGAGCCTTGCTCCTGCAGTGAGCTGTATCGAGATTCGCCAATGAAGGAATAGTCAATAGCTTCAAAACAAACCCCTTGACGCAGTTCAAAACCTTTATTAAATCACACACAATATACTGCCTCTCCTGAGTGTTACTTGCTGTTCAAGGCATTTAAAAAGGACCTTATCCCTTCTCCTAGTCTGCTGATAACCAGCTCCTGGTTTCATACCCTCATCTCACTAATACCTGCAGTGATCAGTGGACTGGTCAGGGGAAAGAGGTCAACAGGTCATGTCAGTTCCCAGAGCTCCAAAGACATACTGGTAGGATAATTGGCTTCTGGGAAAACTGGCCCAGGTGTGAGTGTTCATGAGTGTCTGTGTGTGTCCAGGGATGGACTGGCGTCCCGTCCAGGGTGTATTCTGCCCTATGCCTGTTTCTTACCAGTAGGGCTGGACCCAGGCACAAGTGAACTAAGTGACTGCCTAAAGCTACAAAGCTGCAAGGGGGCCCCCTCAATTTGTAACACAACATATTATTAATAGGCACATTCAAATGTGAGCACAAAATTCCTTATAGTGGCTCTTTCTGTAGCTACTGTGGATCATCCTAATGGATGCCTGATCAAAAAATTACCATTCATAATTGAGCATATTTCCGAAGGGTAGAAAAGAAGACCATGAGATCTGAAAGCTGAAGTATGTTGAAGTCATTGTAATAATGTATATTATACATGACATAATTTGTATTTTATTTGGTTTTGAGTCTGTCGGATCCATGTAACTAGCGAACGCTAGATAAGCCACATTTTCAAGCTAAATACATAGACTACTTGAGGTGTTTTACTAGAAGTTAACAGATTCACATTTCATGTAATTGTACACATACCTAATGGGTCGCCTGGCTAACAATTGGCTGTGCCTGGCCAAACAAAAGTGTGAAAGTGAATGTACAGTACAGTGCAAAAGACATAATCAACAATAAAACACATTGTTTTCCTAGTGGTTTCTCCAGAACTTCATTAAATGGGGGTATTGTAAATTCAGCCTGTAGCCTTTCAGCTTGCAGTTACTCTCCCAGTAACAGTGGCAGGAGCAGAGAGGAGCTGTTCAGAGCTCAAGTTGATTATAACACACCTGAGGTCAGCCGTGGCACAAAACCTTTTCAGTGGTGGCCAACATGAGTATCAATCATGCTAGGGGTCAACTACTATAATTACAAAATGTAATTGATGATTTTGCCTCCAGAAAATTAAGGCAAATATATTTATCGAATGTTTTTTTATAAAACCTTCCCATCTGCTCAGCCTTCCTGTCTCACTCTCTTGTTATTGAGTGCCCTTGTTTCTTACTTAATTACATACAGTACAGTATTTATTTCTACAATTCCTTTCTACAAAGGTTTCACAGCAGTAATTTGTAAGTTCTGATTTGCTACAATTTTGAAGTAATAGAGCTCCTGCTTATCATTATTTATCATTATTAATTACTTACATACCATTTATTACTTTAATGTTAATGAAATTTGTGCTGTTGTGTGCAACTTATCTATTATGTTTTCTTAACATTTAGCACGATCTAAGAAAAAATTGACTTAAAACGAGCGGCTCACTTCATCGTTTTACATCACCAAAACCACAAAACCTTTACAGAAAATCTTTTATCAATTGAAAAAGGTTCAGAGCTTCACAAAAACGTTTTCAGAACCGAAAAAAGGTAATTTAATCAAACTATGCTTGTGCTCCGTGTAGTTGCAAGCGACCACGGTGTAAGTCAATATTTACTTTTGAGTCCTGAGTCATATTTAATTTTTACCAACAAAACCACAAAACCTTTACAAAACCTGTTATAAATCAAAAAAGGACAACTGGGGCTTTTTCAAAAATCAATCACAAATTATTTTTATCACACTTTTTATCTGATGATGCACTTCCAAACTTCCAAAGTGCATCAATAAGGTAATCAGGTAATCAGGTAATCAACAAGCCATCAAAACATGACCGCAAAAGCAAAAACCAGCAAAAAAAAGAATATATCCCATGTTTCTTACCTTATTCTGAAACACGATATATATCCACAAAAGGCTAGACTAACCCACCTCCAGACCTGGATGAAACTGAACATTATTGTCTTTGGAATAGACATTTGAAACTGGACCACCAGAAATAAGGTGATCTGATTGGAAAAAAAGGCTGTCATTCATTGTAGTTTAAGCCATTCAGAGCCTTAAGGGGGTGAGACTTCCTCTAGAAGCCTCAGGCTTCATTCCACCTGCCTTTTAGCTGTCAATCATTGACTCAGAATGGGTAATCAATCAGTTTCTTATCAGTGGTCCTTTTTTTCACACCAGAAGGCAACTCTGAGTTTTTTTTTCAATGCCTAACAGCAGAAAAAGGCTCTCTAGCAGTGTCTAAAGGTTTTTATAGCAATTGTAATGGTTTTTATTGTTATCGCTTTCAATATTTTTTATAATTTATTTTGCGATGCGAGAAATTTTATTCCAGGTCCAGTCTTCACAAAATATTATGTAGAATTTTTTCAAATTGATCAATTTGTCCCACATTTTTATCCAAGCTAGTAGACACCTACGACAAGGCCTACAAGCATTTTCAGCTACCTGACATGCCTAAAATTGAAAGTTCTGACCTCTGAAGACCAAAGCAAAATTTCCGCCTGCTGTTGTTGTTTTTTCATGTTTGTCTGCTGAGTGAACACATTAAGAAATAAAAGAAATTCTGTTCACACTCAAAGCCAAGGGGGTAAGCTTTAATTAAGACCTGAACCAGGCTCCTGCTACAGATGCAGCCATTCAAAACAAGCGGGGTACGCCGCAGTAAAAAGCGGTGGGCGTGTCGCATCACAACGCGTCATAACGCATCATACCGTATAAAACCGCAGTAAGATAATAGTATCCGGATTCACCGCTTGGTGGAGCTAATAAAACTTAACCTCTCATGTACAGCATTTGAGCTGTTGCCAGAAAACAACCTAATTTTAAAGACCTTTACTTGTGAAACTTTTCACAGCCTGTACATAAAACTATTATTACAAAGCTTATTAAAAACAGCCCCCATGGTGTTCAAACCGGTTTTTTTTTACACAGAAGACTGACACAGCTTCGCGCTGTGAATCTGTTTTTCTGAGAAAATATGTGTCCATGGGGGAAGGTGGAGTGTCTTTCGCTGGAAGACTCGTCCTATTCTACTTTGAAAATACCTGTGAAACCAGTTTAATTCGGCACAGCCAGCACTCCAGCAGAGAGAGAGATGAAAACTGCGCAATGCCAGGCAAATGCACAACATGTAGGGCTTTCGTGGATTTACACCCTACAACGTGCGGTACAGGTGTTCAAACCCAGCTGTTGCCATGAGTTTTCTTTTAACAAATAAACATTTGTTTGAAAAACAAAAATAGCAAATATTATTGGCATTATATTGACATTTTTTATATTTCTAAATATCCCAACATGATTGTACTGTATGTACACAGCAGTACCACAGGGTGTAGGGCACAAATCCACATGTGCCCGAAAGCCCTCCATTAATATTGTGTATTCGCCTGGTGCTGATCAGTTTTCGCATTTCTCTCTCTCTCTCTCTCTCTCTCTCTCTCTCCCCACCCCCCATTGTAAACAAACCAGTTTCACAGGTATTTTCAAACTAGAATAGGGTAAGTCTTCCAATGAAAGACACACACTCCACCTTCCCGCATGTTTTCTTAGAAAAACAGATTCACAACGCAAAGCTGTTTCAGTCTTCTGTGTAAAAAAAATCGGGTTGAACACCATGGGTGCTGTTTTTAAGACGCTGCTGAGTAAAGAATAGGAATTTTCCTGCTGTCAGCAGAATCGTGTATATAGTTGACCCTTACCTGAATTAAAACAGGACATAAAGAAAGGATTTCAGAAATCAAACAAAGCTTATTTCTTTGCTTACAGTCTGGGTAATTGGAGGCTACACTGTTATGCTTCCTATGGTGATATACAGGTTTTTCACACAAAGCCGTATTGAGCAGTATTTCTCGTGTTGTGAACATGTGTACACAGCAATCCCCTCGGATTCCAGCTAGTGCGTAATTTCACATCAATGAAAAAACGGAGGTTTAAAAAAAGAGAATTCGCTCACTGATAGTTTTATGTGCAAGCTGTGAACATTTTCACAAGTCATGGTCTTTAAAATGCATTTGGTTTGAAGTTTTTCTGTGTTTCCCTTCCGAAGATATGAACAAAAGAATGTTTGAGCGCGGTCAAGAAAATGGCTTAAAAAAGAAATAAAAAATTAGTATGTTCTGCTGCAGAGATATAACAAAATGTATAAGGGGAGGAAATTCCAGGCAGACATTGGCTAAAAGGGTCTCAGACAGTAATTTAACCTATTAGTGCTTTCTTGCACTAATCATATTGTGTGCATACTGCATGAGTGACAATTTAATCAAAAACTTTACAATGGCTATACTGTTGAGACAGGGTGATGTCACAATAGTGTATAATATTAATTGTTTTTAACTGCATCCAATACATAGGATTGTTATTGTGTACACTTATCAGGAAGCCTTGATGCAATCTGCACAGTCATTGTTTACCAGCTAAATGGTACAGAAGGTTAGTTATGTCAAAGTCCACATTGGTATAATCAGCATGTCCCCAGCATACTGTACAATGATATGTGTATAAAACCTTTTTATTGGTGGGCCTTCTCCAGTCTGTCTATTAATTATATAGACATTGAAATGCAGAAACTTTAGGAACACTGAAAGAGAGCAAGAAAGTGAAAATTGCTATGGTTGTTGCACATAAAATATAAAAAATATTAAATTAAACAAAAAGTTCAGAACTGGAATTGGCCAAAATAAAATTAAAGTTTCTCCAAAACCTGTAAATATGGTGACAATGAGACTGTACAGTACCCTTAATGGTTAAACACCTTGTAAATAAACATGACAATCAATACTGAAAGTGAAACTTAAACTAAGTTTAATTTTTAGCAATCATCTCCTGATTGGTCCACTGTGTGTCCTGTAGATCTATGTTCACTGAAACCTTTCTATTCGATATTTCTGGCAGATCAGACCAG